ATTAAAACCTTTCAAACTTTTAATTTAAATGATAAGCTTTATCATATCTTTTCTTTTACAAGTGACAAACTTTTAACATGTTAATACAAAGCTGAAATTTATTCAAGGACATTATTTGTTCAATAATACTTTATTTTTTTAAAAAAAAACGGTTTATATTTATTTTTAATACAAAAAAAAAATATTTTGAAAGAATTATAAGTTTAAAAGCAAAATTGTCTGTTTTTCAAGTAAGATCCACTAAAAAGTTAATGAGAGTGTTCGAGTTTTTAAGTTGATAAATTAATAGTCGCGAACAATCGTATAAAAAAAAATCTTAAAAAAGTAGAAGTGTATGAAAATCACTTGGCAAAATGATCGGCGCTATATGTAACACCATTTGCTACTCAAAATTGCTGCGATTGATATGATTAGATAAAAAAAAATGAGCAAAATAATGAACTTTTTATATTATAGACACTCTGTTTTCGAATCTATGGAAAAGGAATTCGAATATCGTCCTATTAAAATTCTATAACTATCACCATACGACGGATTTGTCTACGCCAAAGGAAAATGAAAAGCCCAGCTGCCCAAAATTATTTTTATATTAAATACTAAGATATTTCGAATCGAAAAGTACCCTCCAAAAAGGACTTTCGCAAGAATTACTTAGGATCCGAAGAGTGAAAGAACGTTCCTAAATAATAATAATAACAATAATAATATTAGTAATAATAAAAAAAGAGAGGCCTTCGCCAAACTTTTGAACCTACAAAATTCATGTTTTCGATATTCAAAATCTTCGATAAATTGAGATGATCTTTCGACATGAAATATTCATTAATTGATTCAATATTTGAAAGTTAACTTTAAATTTTCTATTTTAATCATTTTTATATTTAAATATGTTAGCAAAATATTTAAGGTTGAAGAAACATGAAATATTATCATTTCCTTCAAGTATTTACGGATAGTCTTCTTCAATGTTAATCAAAGTAATCTTTAACAGTTGAATTCCACTTCTCCCAAATATTAGAGTGAAAAAGAATGGATTGTTGGAGAAGTCTCCGATTGCCTATGACTAGGAAATTCTTTTATCTGCTTTTCTGCAAACAAATTATTAACGGTCGGTCAGAAGTCATTGACCGACCGGTCATGACCAGTTATGACTATGACCATTAGCATCGCTAGTTGTAGATTAAGTCAGATAATGACAAGAAAAACTTTATTATCTAGTCGTTAGACCTTTTACAGATGGGCTCAGCCACGATCAAAATATTATTTTTTCATTAAAAACTTTCAGTTTTAATCGAAAAGGTAAAAAAAGTGTAAATGTATCTAAAATTGAGTGCTGACAAGGCTCAGTTATAAGTATGGTAGGTCCATTTCTAAACTTCTTTTATACGGATATCAAGAGAAACGGATATATGCTAATGATTTATTTTCTATTGACTTCTTACTTTAGACAGTTTCAAATGAGTAAAAACACGAAAGTATTATTTCTCTTGATTTCAAGAAAAAACTATGATCGTTTTAATTACATATCAAAAACGAAAGCATATACGCAGAAATTTACTCAAACTTTTTAAATTTTCTCCTTTTTTTTAATATATATATTTCTGAGAGAATAGTAAGAAAGATTTTTCCTTGGCATGTTGTTATATTTTTGACGTTTTACATGTTTTACACGTGAGGTAGAAAATATTGAGACCAATAACGATTATTGACATAAAGAATCCAATTATGGAAATTCGCACGTGAATCTGAAACAGATGAAATACATCCAAAAATGTTTTTGAAACATACCTGGTTTTACCAGATGTTCTTTTCATAGATTCAATAAGAAAATTAGTAATGGAAAAAACATGAATCAAATGTGAAAATCTGAAACATAATCAAAAAGATTAAAAGACTTTATTAGAAGTGAAAGTGGTGAAAATATACACCTTTTTTTTTTGCCTAAAATCAAATATTTGGCGTTTTTTTTTTTTTTTTTTTTGAAAATCTATAATTACTAATTCGGGTATTTACTTACGTTTATTTGCAACTCCGTTATGTTTCGGACCACAACAAAATTTTTTTTTTATTGAGAAGCTATTTTACGACTAGATAGATAAATTAATGGTAAATTTTTTGGTGTTGACACTTTGTTACTTCACAATTTTATTAATCACAATTTGTGGATAAATGATCGTGGGGACGCGTTATGATATTTTTCCCACGAAATCTTGGCATATTTATTTATCTACGCGAACCAGATTAATTTCTCAACAGTCTTTTTTTTGATTATCAGGTCTATCAATTGAAATTTTTTTAAAAAAAGTAAAATCCAGTTTGTTTTGATAAATATTTGAATTTAACCATTTTTATTGGTTTAAATTCATGCACTTTTAAATTATTTGAGAAATTATGCTAATTAAATTTTGGATTCAAGATTTTGATTGAAAAGCTATGCTTAAAGAAAATCATAATAACACAAAAAAAAAAAATTGAAATATTAAAAAAAAAATTATAAAGGATCTGCGCTTACATACCTTATATCGAAATTCAATAAAACAAAGACCCAAAATAACATCCGAGCTTTTCCCCAAATATCGAATAGAAAATACACGTGGTTAATTTCAAACAATCTATGAAACAAACGTAATTTAGAATTGTCAACCACAAAGAAAGCGAATTTATTAGAGGCACAATCAAAAAAAAAAAAGTCCCGTAAATATTATTTTCTAATTTACATATTTTTGATATAAATATATAAAAAATAAATGTCTAACTATATATATACATCATGCGGCGTATCTATTACCCAACGAGAAACAATAAATGAGTTGATATTGAAGAGATGGATCATCAACTTTGTTCATGGGAATTGTTCGTTTTCCATAAATAATTAAAAAGTTAATAATATTTTTACCGCAGCATAAATTATTTTTAATGTTGCGAATTATTTTTTTTTACTTTGCAATTAAAATCGATTATTTAGTGATTTTCCAATCATTTTTATTTAGCATGAATAAAATGAAATGTATTTGAAGACAACCGTTTCATGTAACGTTCTTTTTTAGAAAAAAAAAATTTAAATTATTAATTTATGAAGAGTTTCAAAAAGGGTAACACCATGTACGAAGATCTTTTGTGTACCAACTATAGGATCTTGACCATCTTGAGACCATCATAATCTCATGGCAAAGCGATAAAAGAAGTCATTGTTTAAATAAAAAAACCCTTGATTATTTTGTAAATTGTCCTATAGGAAAATAAAGATTTTCCAAAGTTGTTAAACTTGGGACGTGATACGTATCATTTCCTTTGTTTCATGTATTTTCTCAACAAAATTATTAAAAATACCAAAGCCCAATTAAAACTTCGCGATCAACTTTTAACTTTTTTTTTTCTTCTAATATGAGCTTTTCCTTATTAAGGAATCAAATTAATTAAATATTTAGTGCACAGAGAAATTTGATGTTTTTGGATCCTTCAATTTATATATACATTAATGCAAAAAAAAACAACTCAATACACTTATCATTTCCCTTTATTATTTTATTTTCATTTTCATTTTCATTTTCATTCCGTTTACTTCATCAAAGGCGTCCGCAGTCTTTCTTTTCTGCTAAAAGAACCTTTATTTTTTTTTATTCTTTTAAAGGGCGGGACCCTTGAACATATTTACGAATATTCATTTTCTTTCCTTCTTTTTTAAAAAAAAAGAAAAGCCAAGAGGAATTGGATTTTATTCCACTGTAAAAAAAAAATTCTCGTTAATGAGCAAAAATAATTAGCCGTAAAGCAAGGACAAAACCGTAAATATAAAAAAAAGAATGGTTTTTGAGTCGGACGCTGTAGCGTATTATACTTTTCATATAATCTCACTGCCATTATCCCTGACCCTTTTCATACTCTATAAAAATCATAAACATCATTCGACGATAGCATATTTTGCACTGACACTTTTCATTTCTTCAATAAATTCATGTTATTTAGCATTTGCAAATAATGGGAATCTTGGGGATACAGCAAATACGGTTGCTTGTGCCTTTCAAGCCTTCTTTGTAACATATTTAAATACTTCGATAGCTTTATGGCTTGTTTGCATTGAATATAATGGTATTTTAATTTTCACGAGAAGAAGGAGGTCGAGACAAAGACTCCAACAAAATGAAATATTTGGGAAAAATGACTTGTTGAGCTTCATGCTTATGTCTTGGGGATTACCTCTATTCTTTACCATAACCGCTACCATATTGGCAATTAGTAAAAATGGAATGGAACCTTGGTTATATTATTGTATGATTTCTAAACCCGCGATTGGTCCGTAAGTATAGTATTATTTTTAACAAATTGATTCTACTTTGAAACAATATTATTTCCGAATGAATTCGCTGAGGGGATATAATATTTACCCAGATGACGTGTGACACATTCAATCCAACATGAATGGATACACATATATTATCTGGTTTCAAATTCACAATCCAATACTAAACGGAAAACAATTATTTTTAATTTAATTTAGTGCCATTGGAATTTATTTTGTGTCAATGTGCTCTATTATAATCACAATAATACTGATAGGTATATACAGTATATATATATATTCTTTATTCATTTACTGTGCCACTCGAATCACACCTAATATGGTTACTTGTTTCAGCATGGAATATCAAATTAATTTATGATCGTGAATCCAATGTCGATGATGAGATCGATATCGATTTGTCTAGACGGATTATTGCTTTTGGAATCGTAACGTTATTGCCCATTTGCCTTGCCACAAGTGAGTTCCTTTTTTTTTTTTTTAAAAAAAAAAAAAAATAATAATAGAGAAAAAATATAATTAATCAAAAAAAAAATTTTTAGCTGCACGGTTGCTTATGATGCTAATGATGAATTGGGTTGACGATACGGGAATGTGGCCTGATTTTTTACTCGTTATGATCCCATATTTTACATTTAGTGAGTGTAGTTAATAATAATAATGTTTAAAAATGTCGACGACGTGTAAAATAAATTAACCAAATTAATTTTTGTCTAGTGATATACGGTACAAAACCAGAAATATTTAGAAATTTTTCTCAAGAACCAATTTCCCTCTCATGTCGCCAAAAAAATCGTAGCGATAATTTATTAATAAATTTTGCAATTATAAATCCGACATTAAGAAGAGATTCAATTGAAGGGAGACAACGAAATCCTTCATTATATTCATCATTTACAAAACCTTCATCAGAAGAGTCAATAGCACGTTCTGTAACACCGGGTCCATCAACATTCAGTCAAAGAGCAAACTCGAATGCAACTGATCCATTTTCGCATAGAAAAAACCCTTCATTAACAATAAATGTACCTGGTCAATATCGTAATAACCGTGTTCGTAAAAGATCTTCTGCTTCAATACGTAAATCCTTTTTAGCTCGGGCTCTATCTGTGAATAAAAATTCCGAAGATTCTAATAGAAGTTTAACAAGTGATGTTGAAAGTGGTCAAGTCAACTCTAGGAATTTACGAAAAGCTATGAAATCATTAAAGAAACCTTCTTTTCGTCGAAATATGACACCTCCTTCTACTCATCATACGATTGCTCAATTTGGAAGAAGTAATAGAAATTCTGGTATAATAGGCAAGTGTGAAAAAAAAATTTTTTAAATTAACAAAACAAATTAAAAATTAATAATTAAAATGTTTTTTACTTTTTTAATTTTAATTTATTTAGATGATAATAATTGGAATACAGAGAAATTTTTAAAGAAATTTTCTTTCGAAAATCGAAGTAAAACTGAATCCGTAATACACATTCCACAAGAATTAATATTAGATGAAAGCAAAAATTATATTCAGGATGAATTTAAAGCGAATTCTTCCTCACGAAGTATTAAGTTAATAAATGGGCATCTAACTGATAAACTACCTTTGATAGAAATCACACGAAATTCCACTTCAACACCATCACATATTTCAGTCACTTCAGATACTGAAGGAATATTTGATAAAAGTGAAAAGCAAAGAAGGGACCGATCAATGAAAAGAAAACAAATTTCATCTAAACTTTCTAGACCACCTCCATTATTATTAAGTGAAAACCATCATCAACAATCTTTATCACCAAAATCAACGGAACAATCTCCAAGCTTTTTCTTTTTAACGTCCGATCATTATGATGAAGACGAAGAAGGAGAAGATGATGATGACGATGATGACGATGATGATGATGGAGAAGAAGAGGATGATGATGATGTCGATATACATCTCCCAACAACTCCTTCATTTGGACCTTTATCAAAATTTCAAGCAAAGAGGAACTCAAGATCCACTTTTAGTTCAAAATCCAATAAATCTACAGATTCATCAGGCTCTTCTCATGGTGGAGGGTTAAGACTTACGCCAAGAAATAGTATACCTGTAAATATACTAAATAGAAGATCATTACTTGATGCTTTACCTAGATCTTCAACATCCACTATTAATGAAGAGAATTAGAATTTGTTTTTATTATAATATAATTTAATTGGATACTTTACGTATTGTGATTGTATATACTGTAAGTGTTATAAAATATATATACATATATAGTTCAACGGGTTTTTTTTAATTATAGAATCATCTTCATGATTATCAGTAACGAATACTTTATTAATATTTGCTATTAATGAATTCTTTTAATTAACACCATAACGATTCATATAATATATAGATTTATTTTTTTAGAAAAACCTATATTTCGTCACTCATTTATTGTAATATATATATTATTATTTGTACAATTAGTTTTTTAGTGTTTCATTTAGGGTCGAGATAACACACTAATCAAAAAACGGGAATTTTTGGGAAAGAAAAAAATAAATTAATTAATAAAAGTCAATTAAAAATATTTTTAACAGATAAGTTATACGCGTCGTACGCACCAAAATTTAACATTTGATTTTCGGAAAAAAATTTTTATTAACAAAACATTTGTTACATAAGCATATAATGTTGTAAAATAAAATAATTTATTGAGTATTAAATATATAACTAAAATAAAATAAAATATAAATATGAATATAAAAAAAAATATATATAAAATATAAAAAAAATACAAAAAATATAAAATATAATAAATAAAATAAATAAAGATAAATCAAAATAAAAAATAATTGGGATGAATAGAATGATAGAGAATCTACACAACAATTATTTCCTCGGTATAATTAACAGCTAGACGCATCGTTTAAAACAATGGGTGCATCGTTTCGTTTGAAACGATGAAGCCCATTATTTTAAACATGCGGCTAGCTATCAAAAATACCGAGGAAATAATTGTAGTAGAGATTCACAATCTGTAAAAGTGGTTGAAAGTTCATCAATCCCATTTCGGTTGCATTGACATTTGATCTTGAATTGATAAAGTACGATAAATTTTTTGCAACACTTCATCTTGTGTAAAGTCATGAACGAATTCTGCCGAGTTTGGTGTAATTGCAGGATTGGTTTGTAAACTAAATTCAGGTTCATTGTGTTCGTTGTTTAGTTTAATAAGTCGTAATGGTGAAAAGTATTCAACAGGTTGTAAGTCCGGTAGATTTGATTCAGAATTAATTTCAACCGGTGTAGGATAAGTTGCATTTTGAAGAGGTTGAGATGAGCCAGGAAAATTACTGAATGTATCTGGTTCAAAGTGATCGTAGACCGGAGTAGGATATGTCAATTGAGGAATCGAAGGAGAAGTTGTTTCCGAAACGAATGTTTCTGATCCATTCGTCGTATATTGATTGTCCGTAAGAGAATTAGATGCAACTTGAAAAGTTTGAGGAGAGTAATTGCCCAAAGTAGGATAATCATAACATTCAAAATCAAGATATTGAGGTAAATAGGAGGCGTCTTTTATAGACATCGTGTTATCCAGAAAAGGAGATGATGTTGAAGAGGAAGATGAATTAGAGTTCGAAGGGAAAATTAATTGCATGCCAAACATACTTGATTCATTCCTCATATTTTGAAAATTGTTGTTGTACGGAATAGGGGAAGAAGATGTAGAGAAAGATGAACTGGAAATAGAAGGGGAAGTTGATTGCATGTCAGTATTTGGTTCATTGTTTTTGTCCGGAGTAGGAGATGTTGAGGAGAAAGATGTGCTAGATATCAAAGGGGAAGTTGATTGCATGTCGAGTGTATTTGATTCATTCCTCATAGTAATTTTGTCCGGAGTAGGAGATGTTGCGGAGGAGGATGAAGATTTGTTTTTTTTCGTTTGCCTTTTTTGCTTTTTTTTATTGTGCAAACGTTTTGGTTGATATTTATAATTTTTGTGTTTTCTACTAAATTCTTTTTTAGCCAATCTAGCATATGCTTTGTATACGTTTACAACTTCTTCGGATTCATTCTTCCACATGGTGGAAATTTCTACACATGCATCGGTTACTTTTCCGGAAAAACGTGGATCCTTATTCTTGACTTTACGATATAGAATAAAACTATTTTGACAGCGTGGAATATGTTTTATGTTCTTTTTTTTATTTTTTATCGCAGTACGTGTAGTGGTCGAATTATTTATTAGATCGAGATCCAAATTAAATTTGCGAACGATCTCTTCATCGTTTTGATTAGAGTCAGTTTCAAATTGAATCACATTGTCTGGGTCTGGTCGTTGAGGGAGTGCGACATTATTACCCGCATTATTGTTGATTTCTAAACGAAAAACGAAAGTTTCGTAATTTTGAGCTTTGACCATTTTTGAGAGAAAAAAAAAAAAAGATTAAAAAAAAAGGAAAGGACCAATTCGTTGGTTGTATCGAAATAATGTAACAAATTTCGGGCTTTTTTATTAGATAAAATTTACAAAAATTACTTTTGTATTCTCAAATAGGAAAGTCGGTAAATAAATTTACCAGAACATAATTGATAACCGTAACATTTGATAAATCAACAAGATAAGCAAATAGGTGATGTAAAATTCAGCCCAAAACTCGGTGTAGAAATTCCGGTACGAAAGTACGCAAAGTACACAAACAATTCGTGTAAGTTAAATCGTTCCATAATTCCATCATTTTGCATGATAAGGATATTACTATGATTTCAAACCATTCAGAGTATATATTCCGATTCATGAACTGTACATCTTGTACATCTACATCGCATTTATCATAAATGCGAATTTCGTGATTTTTATTATATGAATTCTAGAATCTCTACTGTGGTATAAGAAAATAGTTCGCCACTCTGATAAGATTTGAAAAGAATTTATTAAGAAAATGTCAAAAAACGAATTCCGCGAAAAATAATGGATTTCGAGTAATTTTTCTATAAACTATATTCATAATGATAAGATTATCTCCCGAGATTTTTTGTTTTTAACGCATATCTTTTATGCTTTGTACCACATAATTTAAGGAAGTCACATAAATTCAGCCTGTCGATCACATTTGTTTAACAATATAATATTATGATATCATCTATTGCACATGTCACATTAACTGTAATTAGAATGATCACTATTCCTTTATATGGAGATTATGCAATGAAGATCTCACTTTCAACAATCAATTTTAGCCAATCAATGTAAAAAAAAAGAATAGTTTTGTAGTCCCAAAAGGAAGGAATAAAAATTTTTTTTCTCTCGTTTCATTGAAGATATGTCACAGATGACCAAATAATAACCGTATTTAGTTACAATTCTTTTCGGAAAGTTGTGACTATCTTTAGCTCTCACCTTCACCTTCTATTTGGTAAGGAATTCCCATCTGAAAATAATAATCATTCATTATGTAAATAAAAAGTTTCGACCCAAATAAAACTCGAAAATTCATTAATAATCTTGCAATTATATTAAAAACACGATTGATGTTCGATTTTATGGATTAATTTTAGAAGAAAAAAACTTTCCCAATTATTGATCAGAATACGATCACTAGTGCTCTCTAATTTCTTGCGTTATAATAATAGGTTTTATAGATGCCCAAGTTGGGCACTTTGCAGTAGAGATTTAGTTAGATTCAGGTAAATTTTGGTATTAACAATGCTTTTCAATTATTAATAAAGATTGTGAGCACTAAAACGATCAGCATTAAAAATAGTATCATTCATTAAGGAGATGATCAGCATCTAAAAATAGATAAATTGCAGTAGAAAGGGCGGAAATGAATTAATGCTAAATTTGAACATATTTCGGCCTATTTGGTACATAAAAGTAAAATTGATTTTTCCCTTTCTATAAAAAAATTGATCGGCAAATCTATTTTTAAAAATAACTTATTTTTGTTGCTGCGGAGCTTCCTTTCTACTGAAATTTTTAAATTTATTTTATCCAAATTAAAATAACCTTGAGACAATCATACAATTCACGGCAATAATTAGTTTAGAAGTATTCTACACAATGATAATCACCTGTTTGAAATAAGTCTGCCAAAATCATTTATATCTATTTTTTTTAAAAAAGAAATTTATTTGATTTGGCGCAGTTTTTCTACGCAAAGATTTAAACATGGATCGATTCGATCATATAAATATGTAAGTAATGTAAAAAAAAATTTACAGACTATCATGAACTTATTTGCGCATGAAATAAATTAGAAAAGAGAAATTATTCGCCTGTTGGGAAAGTCGTTGGCAACTATAATAAATTAAATACATATACACAATTTTTAATAAAAATGTGAAAAATCACTTTTAAAACGTATTAATATTTTTTAACATTTCACTCACCTCTTCCTCTTTCATATTAGTTCTATCAATTTCATCTTCAGTTTTGTCCGGCAAGGGTTTCAAAGCAGAAGTAGTATCAATATGTATAACAGCATCAAATTGTAAAGAAACTTTAGCATTAAAATAATGAGATTGTAATTCGGTGTCAGGACGGTAAATTACTCCAATAGCTCTTTCTTTCAATCTAGCTTTATGAGCAAGTTCAGTAATAAGATCCTTTGAGACGGCCAATTTTTTATTTTGTTGAATTTGATTAAAATTGAGGAGAAAGTTCGGCGAAGAAGTTTCTTCGGCCACCGTATGAAATAAATGTTCAACTGTTTCGGGACGTGACGGGTTAACTAAGTAAGGTGGACGGAATGATATTAGCTAGTGTCATAAGTTGCCAAAGAACTAATTACTATTTTTAGAGAATGATTATGTAGTCACCTTTTTTCTTTTCCCTTGGCCCGTTCCAATTGGAAGCCGCAGTAACTATAGCATTCCTATTGTCAGTATTTTGACTGTAAACTTGTAAAAGAAAAACCTTTTGCGTGTTTATATTACCTGTTCCCGTGTGCGTGGTAAATCCGATGTTGTAAACTCTTTCTATTCCAAATTGTTCACGAGCCAACTGTCCAATATTCAATTCTTTTTGACGTTCTCCTTGATGAGTTTGTCTCGCGTCTCCAATATGACTATTATGTGCCTAAATAATGAAATAATATTCTAAACAAATTTATTCCAAAACATTTTATTCTTATTTTACTTACCCAAACAACGGCTTTAACTTGTTTGGTTCTCTGACGTTGAAAGTAATTTATTAAAGCTTTCAACAATTCCATCATATGTGAATCACGCATATTCCAACTTTGAGCACCACCATTAATCATTTTTCCTTTTAATGAAAGCACAAATTCTAGGAGTTAAAAACAACGTGATGCGTGATACCTCGACGCATTTCAAGTTGGTTACTCACGGTAATATTCTTCGGAATCCTTAACCACCATAGCATTTATTTTAGCGCAGAACAACTCATCTACTTCCTCTTCATTTGAATGATTTTTGTGGGTAATTTGTTCAGATTGCTTTTTAGCAAGATCAGTTAACACTCTAATCACTTCTTTTTCACATGATGATGAAACTTTAAAATATGTAGAAAACGCATAGGATTCGGTTGACCGATCGAAATGATCAAAGCAACCGTAACTACAATATATATAGGGACTATTAAATTTCGAAATACAGAAAATTATTATCAAGTAAAAATTTAACATTACGCTTGTCTCGCTTTTTTTGCTGCCCGAGCATCAACGCTTTCCAAGTAAGTGATAACAGCCTCAATAGATGCAAATAACGAATATAAATCCAATCCGTAAATTCCAGTCTATAAAATATAATTAAAAAATATATATTGAAAGTTATAAAAATAAATAAATTAATTAAATGATATAATACCACTCACTTTGTTATAACGATTCCATTCTTCTTCACCTTGTTCGGCTCTTGCTTTAGCCTCCAATTCATCATTACGCTTCTTAAGCCATTCAACAAAATCAGATATTTGATGATTTCTCCACATCCAAGTTGGAAATCTCTTAAAATCACTTAATGCCTCATGTGCATCTTTTGAATTATTTAATTTAAAATTTTGTACGTAACGATTAACTTTATAAGTATCTGGCCAATCTGCTTCACATGCCACAACACTACGAGCGAAAGGTAAGAAAAAAAATTCAAATTTTAAAATAAATATGGAAAATACATATAATTACGTGAAATCTTTTTCTTCTATTAGTCTTTTTGTGATTAAACATCTTTCATGATAAAATTCTTCAGTTCCATGAGATGCTTCACCAATTAACACAACTTGCGCATTTCCTAAATATAAATATAAATAAAATACGATCAAATTAATTTTTTTTTTTAAATTTATAACTGCATAACGATCATGTTCGATAATATACCGATTGCTTCAATAAGTTGATCATAATCTTTCTTGGGATTATCCAGATCCAATTTGATCATATGATTCTTAATAAGATTACGATTAATCGAATGTTCTTTTGCGAAAGACATTGTAGATATCTTCTTTAGAGAATATTTCGAAAGTGACTGTGAATATTTAAATAAACGAAAAGTCATTATATAAAAAACGAAAAAGATGAATTGGGTTTTTTTTAAATTAAACATTTCGTCATCATTTCTCATTATGATGTAATGGTAATTAGCTTTGAACCATAAAATTCGCTATGCTAAACCTAGTGTTGAGCAATTAGAATTTTGGACAATTTTGGACAGGTTTTGGGATACTTTTCATATGTCCAAAACCTTGTCCAAAATATTTAAAAATCAAAGAAATGTGTCCAAAATCCATTACTATTAATATGCTAACCAAATAATGTAATAAATTTTAATTCTCGAAATCAATCTAAACGAAAGATGATCAAGGATAAGGAGAAAATTGAATCAAAAAAATTTTATTATATCATCGGTCTGAGCAATAGACCATTTTTTCGGTCTAGAAATTTTTTTTTTTTTCTAGTTAAATAGTGAAAATATAAATTCATCTCAACTCGGTCGCATCATAGAAATAATACGACTAATTTTTTTCATTTCCACGGCTACCTTTACTGCGGTGTTATATTTTAAGACGCGAGCCGTGTTTAGCCCGTTGATACCGTAATAAATGAATAGTCATTTCCGTGCTTTTTTCTCCGTAAATGGCTCGTATTCTATATATATATACATTTAACGAAAAATCCAATTGTTTACCCTATTTATTGTTCGATTTATTTTTAACTAATATCGATGGATAATATTCGAACATGAATTTGGATATGAATAGGGCTTGTATTTTTAACCATGTGAATGAATCATAAGTGCGATCAATAATGTAATTGACTCATATTATGACCCACGTATGTTCAGCTTCAAAATAAAAGATCCTATATCGTTCTCTCTTTTTCTATAAAAAAAATTGCTTACTAAAACCATTAAAAAATAAATATGTAAACCATCTTTGAAGAATTCTATACACATTTCAAAGTTAAAATCGAAACTGATTTAAATAACAAGAATTGGTTGAAATATTTTCTTATTTCACTCACTAAGAATGAAACTCAAGAAAGCCCTCTCTTTGCAATCCTTTCATATCTATCAACGAACGAAGATAAAATTAAATACTTGAGGAAATTATTCTCTTGTCGTTCGGTATACTCCTATCTTGCTGCGTAATGCACTTAATAATTATTGTTAAATTAATCTTGACCATTTGCGTCGTAATAATTGTTCAACACGAACGCCCAAAAAGGCCGCAGAACTAGTACGTCGCCTCGCCAGGAAGCGACAGAAACTTCAAGTCGTCAAGAAACGGCAGAAACTCCACGTCGGTGACGTTAAACTTATAAATATTAATATATAATATTTCAATACCATTAAATTACCTTAAATTATATTATATTTTTTTAATATAATCATTATATTTATTATTTATTTTATATAAAGATTTTATATTTCTTTTAATAAGAAGTAACGATTAAATAAAAGAATTAATTAAATTTATTTACAATTATTCTTATATTTTTATATAAGTTTGATTATAATTATAATTAAAAGTAAACTTGATTTTAGTATTGAATAATGAATTACCTCTATCATATGAAAAAGAAAGGCAAATCACTTGTTCTAGAAATGGACACTGACGGCTAATTTATTTTTTTTGATTAAAAATACAGAGTATATTTATTTATGACATATTTAAGCATTTTTATTATACATGAACTATTAGAGCAGATTCTATATTTCCTAGCAATATATAAGACACTGTATCCCATTCTATTTGTATCCTGATTGTGATACAGATGCAGTGCTTTTATTCTATAAAAACATATTGAGCTAAAGGGAAATGACCTGAGATATGAACATTATTTTCCAGAAGATTATAATTATTGTGCAAGAGATAGTACTCAATGGGAAAGATTTATAAAAAATAATGTGTGAAAAGCATAAGCCAGCTTATGTCTTAAATACAACTCATCAAGAAATTACTTTTTACTATTCATTTCAGATAAAAAAATAAAAAGTATTGTAAAAACATTTCCGAATATAATTTATTTAGATTTCAAAGATAGTATAGGTTTTAGCAATAAATCACTATTTGTAATAGCAGAATCATATTCTAATTTGAGATATATTAATTTGTGGAATACTCAAATAACTGATAAAGGTTTATATGCAATTGCGCGATCATGTTGTAAATTAGAATATCTAAATATTTCTTATTGCAGAAATATTAGTGATAAATCTTTGTTTAAAATCACAGAAAATTGTCATGATTTGCAAGAGTTTTATTTTGCTGAAGCACGTTGGATTACAGATAGGTTTGTAAGTTGCATCTTAAACTCATACCAAAATTTACAAAAACTTGATATTGCATTTAATTGTGAAAATAACAAAGATACTAATACTTTAATATGAAGATGTTTCAATATAGAGTATCTTGACTTTAGTGGGGCTATGGCTTGGCAGAATGATGTATTAATTATAGCTATTATCAAAGGATCTCTGAATTGAAGACATTTAGAAATAGATCATAATAATATTGGCGATAGGTTATTAAAGCAATAGCTCACATATGTCATAAATTAGAACATCTCGAGCTAGATGGTTATTCATTTGTCAGCGAACTATCAATTTGTAATATTATATATTCCTGCCCAAGATTCCAGCATCTTAAACTCAGATATTGTAATATTACCAATATGACTATCAGAAAAATTGCTCGCTCATGTCTCAATTTAAAATTTTTAGATTTGGAAAGATATGAAAATATTAGTAAAAAAACCATGAATTAGTTCAATCAAAACATTCATATCAATAATTTTGATAAAGAATACTGTTCTAATTCAGAATTTTCTAGCTATGGCTCTGAAACTGAATCAGAGGATGAAGATGTTTATAGTAATAATATGCCTCTTCCTATATTTATGGGTATGACTGAAATTACAAATGATTTTATTTCTGAACTTTTTAATAGAAGCAGTAATCATTATTTTAGCTGAATTTGCTGATTGTCTGTCTCTTTTCAAATGAATGAAAAAAAAAGGAATTTAAAATAATTTTCAATAAGCAGAGGTTGGAACTTGCCTCAAAATTCTTAACCAGTCGGCCAAAATTTCTCTTTTTTCTTGACAAAAGTGTGTGAATCAAGTTCACAGGTTTTCTGAAAATTCAAAATAACCAAAATGTTTTACTGATTTTGAATACTAGCGTTTAATATTACACAGATATGTAAATTGAAATAGATTTATTAAGTTAACATATTACTGAGTTTGATGCCAGAAATGTGGAGCTTATAAGGCAGATAATAAAAGAATATGCTAGAATTGAGAAGTTAGAGCAGTATCTCGATGAGCTTGAAAAAGAATCAAAATCTAAGAAAAATCGCAAATTTCAGACTAGATGTATCTAGATAGCCAAGGAAATTCTTCATGAGGAGCCGATAATTAAGTATCACCCTTCTTTCTTGAATGGATTAGAGCTCAATGTCTTCTTTCAAAAATATCGAATTGCATTGGAAGTGCAAGGGGCTCAGTATCAGTTTCATAATACCAGCTGATATAAAGATGTCAAACATTATTAATCGTGATTGGCAAAAAAAGATGCATATGTCAAGATAATGAAATTTATCTTATTGAAGTATGGTATGACAAAAAACTGGAAATTGTTATTCCCAAAAGAATACAAAAAGATCTCTTGTAATCAATAATTAATAATCTTACGTCTAGTCGACGTTTTTCAAATGTTGTTCGAAATAATAAACTTATGAAAAAAGTGTTTGATAATAATCTTATAATACACATATCCATTGCTCTCAAAAAGATTGCATATTCATGTGAAATCGATCACCTGAAAGACGGGAAGTCATAGATGTATGGGCTTAGCCTCTCATGCACTACTATTACCAATAAAAATTCATTTTGCTCATAGTTTTATTTTTTTTTTTCGAAGTTATTACAAACTGATAGATAAATACAAAAATAACGAGAGATCTTGCAAAAATAAGTATAATAAGAGTTTTCTACTTAAATGATGAAATTTGCGGATAAAATAAAATAAGAATCCAATATATTGAGAGTTAGTGGTTATGGCATCGTATTATTGCACTTTACTGTTTAAGTTCAACTAAACAGAAACGTGTTTTAATACCTGATATTCATTATGTGTTCAAGCTTGCGCCTTTCGGCAATGGCTCCGTTACTTCTATTTCATTGTTTAACTCCTGATTTGCAGATTTCATATTTATTTGTATTAATGCCACAGCTTTACCTCTAGGAAGAGTAAATGTCCCGATCTTTTCATCTTCAAAATAAAAAAACTGCCAATCATCTCTTAAATCTGTTAGCACAGCTAAAATAGCATGTATAAATTTTAAATCTCCAGAAGTCAATTCTGCCAAAGCTTGATACAAATGTCCATCATTAATGAATTTCTTTAGTTCAAAAAGGATCCGAATGTGGTGTTGTGGGATCCTGGAAGAAATAGAAAACCTGTTTACTACAGTTGCATCTGAAGTACCAACGAGTCTTATTGGCAGGATGTCAGTACTCATACTAAGAAAATTAATATGACTAGTTGTATCATATATCTCAAGTTTTCGATATTTGGAAATTTGGAGTATCTTTCTAAGATGAGGTATATACCTATCTTTTTGTTCTCTTTCCGGTCTATCATCCCATTGGAATGCATTACTCTTTGTTTCATGTTCTAGATTGAAGTCAATTGCCTCGAACCCGAGACCAGTAGACATTTGAATCTTCTCCCATTCGTTGCATTTGATATTTGATATGGCTATCTCTGATTTTTGTAGTTCTTTTACCAAACCCTCAATGTTAGTTAGTTTTTGAATAACTGTTCGATTATTTTCATTATTTTTCTTGATAACTAAGAGTTATTAAGGGTTAGAATTGGAGAAGGTTAAAGACCAACCATTTTGTTGATTTTAAATCTTAAATTAATAATACAATTCATAAATTAAAATACCTTTTCTCAATGATTTCTTTTCTCTCTTTGGCCTTTCTTTCTCAATAACCTCAGTAACAAATTCACCAGTTGCTCTGGAAGAATTTAGATATTGTGTGTTCATGGTACTTGTGTTACCATTTTCCCGTAAAACATCACTTATATTATCAACTGTTTTAACTGAATTTGTTATATCAGTTAAAGTATGCGATTCGCCTTTAACCTTTAAAAATTAAGAAACTATGAAAATTCTTTTCAGAAAGTAGAATGATGTTTAGATTAAGGTTGCCTGAAAAGTTTCACTTTTCGGACTTGCCGAATTCGGCAGGCAACCTTAGATTAGATGCGGGAAAAGGAAGATACATAACTGATCCCTTCTCCAGAATTAGTAGACCTTTACCAACTGCGCTTAACAGAATCTAACAGAATCAACCTGAAAAACATGCAAGCAATAACCGAGAGCAAACCAGCAAGCCCCAAGCGAGAGCGCTGTGCTTAACAGGACAAATCTGACAAACGTGCACCAAATACAGGAAACAAACCACCTATCATACTTACCCTCTTCTTATTATTTTTCCTATTCAGCAAACGCCTTACAGCAATATGTACTTCTTCTGAGGCACTTATATCGTCTCTAATTATATAGAAAACATTATAAAATACCCATTATTTTCCGTTTGGCCGAATTTGTCAAGCACCCAGGAAGTAAAATGTTCAAAAGACCACTCTTCCTAGGGAACTAGCTCGAAATATTGAATTTTCCCCTTCTTTAAAAGTCGGTTAGCAGACATGAAGACAATTTGATTGTAAAAGATAATTCCGGAATGTGTTTAAGACGCGTACCATCATGAAAAATCACATGATATTTCATCACACTTCTAGGAATCTAGAATTTTCCCAGTAATGAAAATCTATTCGTCACGCCTTAAATTTCGGCCACACTTAATCACCGGAGTCATGTGAACGAAACTTCCGAAACCGTGGCTACTACAACTGATGGTCTTTAAAAAATCTGAAGTAATTGCTAAGGCACCGGAGGCACAAGCGAAACCCTTAATTTCAGCTGAGAACTATGATGATGTATATTTTGATGATGATCCCGTACCTCAGTCAGAGAAAGAAACTAAGGTAGACGATGATGACGATTCTGATAAAATGCTGATGGAAGCTTTTGAGGAGGATGAGGCGAATGATGCTAATTCGCACGATGGTGACTCCAATTCATGTAATGACGACTCCGATTCTGATGATTCCGAAGAAGAGATGCCAGGCGATTCGGATGATATTACGTTTTGCAAAATCGATCTACGATTTGTTAACTTCTAACCCATGATGTCAGTGTTTGCCAAATGATTATGACTGGCAAATGACTCAAATGACAAATGACAAATGATCTGTCATTTCAATTATCAAATGACCAGTCATTTCAATAATTTTTAAATATAGCAAATTTTATAAATTTTTATTATTTATTTTGTTTATTCTAGTGTAAATAAGTTAAATTTATTAAAATATTTAATTACTAGCGATCGTTACCCGGGCGACGCCCCGGGAGCTCGCAGGCGCTACGCAAACAAAGCGTTTCAATCTCAAAAAAAAATTTTTTTTCATTTTTTTTCACGCAACCGGTCACCCGGTAACCGGTTTGAATCTCATGAAATTCGACCCGGTACCCAGTGAGCGATCTGAAAATTCTCCCGCACCCAGTGCTCATTAGAAATTCGAATTAAACCGGGTCATATGGAGCCACGCACCCGGTGCTCATTAGAAAATCCACGTATCCGGGTCATTTCAAGTCACGTACCCGGTGCACATTACAAATTCAGGCATTTTACCCGGTGCCCGTTGCTGATTTCGAAATTTGTTCTAAATATAACGTGAGTCACACGAACGTCCCAATACGTGCTTAATATTACCAAAAAAGGGAATTTCCGGCTATCGCAAAATGGCAAGGATCACCCAAAATGGTGACACAAAATTCCCGATTTGGTAATTCTCGTGACACAAAACACCCGAAAAGGTGATTTGTGTAACGTGACACACGCCTCACTACGTGAGTCGTCGTATCACTTTTTTATTAGTGACACGAAGTAGCGTAATATATATATAGGACTAGCGGTTCGACCCGGGCGATGCCCCGGGGTTCGCTAACGTGACGCATCAAAGACATTAAAAAAATATTAAAAATAATTTTAAAAAGATCCAACTAAAATTTTTGAAATCGTTTAAGTTTAATTTTATACGTAATTTAATAAAC